TGGCCAAATCTGGGGGTTGTTTCATACCCTGAACTCCAAAATCCCAAAATCTGGGCAAAACCCTTCAATTGGCCAAATCTGGGCATTGTTTCATACATTGAACTCCAAAATCCCAAAATCTGGGCAAAACCCTCCAAATGGCCAAATCTGGGGGTTGTTTCATACCTTGAAGTGGAGCCTGAGCCATCAGAGCCCCCTCAGCGTCTTTTAACAACCCCCTGCTTAACACTGCCCACCACCCAGAAAGACAGAAACCAGGGCAAAGGAAACCTTTTAATTGTAATTTACTTTATTATTTTGTAAATGTGAATTTTACAAAGCGTTTTACAATTAATGATCACATTGGGTTGGTTTTTTTTGTTTTTGTTTTTTTTTTTTTTAAATGGATTTTTCATCATATGAAAACAGCTATGAGCACAGTTCCAGCTCGGGGGGGAAGGGGGGGTCTTCATGTTTTCTCTCTCTCTCTTTTTTTTTTAGTTACTGATATATCGTGTCAGCCATGGCTACAAAATAACAGTCTGAACTATACAGAGTAAGAGCACATAAATACTAGTGAATAATGCACGGTAAAAAATAAAATAAAATACAAAACAACAAAAAAAAAGAAGCTAGCATCGTTCGTGGCTGAGACAGTTGAGGAACATAATTCAGTGGTACTGTGAGATTTCCTTACAGCACAGAAAGTATTTTTAACAGTCATGAATTACAGTACTACTTAATACCCTATGAAGACGCTTTAAAAACAACCTTGTACTTTAAGTCCTTTTTTTTTCCCCAAACATTCTGTCCAAAGGATTAATGTTCTATTTGAATCAAGTGCCATCCAAATGTTCAAGTCAAAAATATTTATACATTTATACTCAGTTGTTTTTTTTTATTATTTATTAATTATTTCATTTACTTTTTTTTTTTCTTTATTCCTGTCTGCTAAAAATAGTATTGCAAGTTTTGGCTTTTTTAAATTTTATTTATTATAACGTTGACATAAAAATCACGATTTTTTTTTCTCTTTTTTTTTTTTTTTAATTTTTGTGTGTGTGCAAAACGCTTTTAAACAGTGGAAGAAACTGGAGGAGGAGGAGGAGGAGGAGTGGAGGGGTTTCCAATGTGAGTGTGTCCCACTCGCCCCCTCGCTCGCTCCCAGCACGGTTTGGAGAGCAGGAACACTTGGAACAGCAGTTGGGTCCCGGGATGGCCACGGGGGGCGGCGGGGACAGCTGGGGACACTCTGGGGACACTCCGGGCTCATCCCGGCTTCCCACGGCTCCTTCTCCACTCGCAGCGAGCGATTGCCAGCAAAACAGCCCCGGGTGACAGGGATGGGGATGGGGGACAGGGCTGGGGGGACAAGGATGGGGACAGGAATGGGGATGGGGGACAGGGATGGGGACAGGGATGGGGACAAGGATGGGGACAC